TTCCTCTCTCTCTCTCTCTCTATTCCTCTCTCTCTCTCTGTTCCTCTCTCTCTCTCTCTGTTCCTCTCTCTCTCTTTGTGCTGACAATCATCAAATCTACATTTGAAACCAGATATTTACTCTTCAGATCAAAACACTTTTTTAATTGTAACATCAAATCAGACTAAATGTTTATTTTTTTTGATAAATATAAAAAACATATTTGTTAACTTTCAGAGTAAAGAGAGAAACTGTCTGTGTTTCTTAATTGCAAATGGCACCAAATTGTATTCAAACTGAGCCACACTTATGGAGCTCCACAGTTCTGTTCCTGGTGTTTTGGTTGACATCTCTTGATGTTCCCATGTCACAGAAACAGGCTCTGTGTTTTGCCTTATATGCATCCACAGCTGTTTCCACCAGTTTACTCACATGGACTCTACTAATTCCTCCTATCTGCTCTCCCTAAAAAGTCTCTTCATAAACTCCAACTTCTTCAAAACTCTGCAGCTCGGGTCATAACTTGCACTCCGTCAAGAGCTCATATTACCCCAGTTCTTCAGCAGCTTCACTGGTTGTCCGTAGAAACCAGGATAAACTTTAAAATCTTACTTCTTACATACAAGTGTGTCCATAAATCTGCTCCTGCATATTTGTGTGACCTGCTCCATATCACCACTGTTTCCCGTCCTCTCAGATCATCATCTTACTGTTCCATCCTCACACCTTATTACTGTGGGGAGCAGAGCTTTCGGTCGCTCTGCTCCTCGGCTCTGGAACTCTCTTCCTCCTGCACTAAGAAATATTGACTCCCTCTCCGTATTTAAGACACAGCTCAAAACACATCTGTTTAAACTGGCTTATTCGCTTTAATGCTGATTTTATCTGTTGTCACGCTCTGTTTTGTAATTTTAACTTATTTGATGTATTATATGACTACTGTTCCTTTTATTAATTGTGTTCTTTGTAAGGTGACCTTGGGTTTCTGAAAGGCGGTTAGACGTTATGTAGCAGAAAACGGACCCAACAGCGATTTTACTAGAAAATTCCAACTACAATGTACGAGCAGCACTTGGTGACAGTGGGAAGGAAGAACTGCTTTTTAGCAGGAAGAGAGCCAGGATCAGGAAGGGGGAGGTGGAAATAGAAGAGCTTGCTCAAACTGAAAATCATCAGACTTTCACAGTGTGTGTGTGTGTGTGTGTGTGTGTGTGTGTGTGTGTGTGTGCGTGCGTGCGTGCGTGTGCATGTTTAGATAGTTTTGTGAGGACAGAAAATTGTCATGCCACAATACTTGTGGGGACAAACTAGGGATGGGTATCAAACCCGGTTCTTGTTGAGAACCGGTTCCCACTGTTTCATTTCCTTGGAACTGTTTGCCATTTTTGCAAACGATTCTCTTATCGATTCCAGTCGCCCCGAATGACGTCACCACGTTGCGGAGCGTCATTTACCTGGCAGGAAACACGGCGCCTAACGCTCAAAAGTTTGGTCATACTTTACGAGAACGGATGACAACAGGGCAACTTGCAATACTTGCAAAGTAGATACTTCACTTAAGGGAGGAAACACGACGAATATGCAAAAGCATTTGCTCACAAAACACGCGATGACCTTAAATGAATGTCGTGTTTTTAATTCCGGACTCGTGACTCTCAACCCAGCAGCAGCGGTAACGTTTGCACGTCCTCTCCCGTTAATGCGGCAGGTAAATAATCAGCTAACAGTGCATATTATGTTAGTGCGATCTGCCTTATTACAAACCTGCCATCACTGTGCATTTAGTGACCATGATGAGACAGAGTCTGGCTCAGATGCTGGCAGTTCTCGCTGCAGTCTGCCGGTAACGTCTCCTTTCAGGCAGGATAGACGAATGTCACCGAGCAGAGACTCAGTTTGTGGTCAAAGGCTTGCACCCGTTTGCCACAGCAGATGATTTTCAGTAAGTGAATGTGTTTAATTGTAGGCAGGGACATTACTGGATATTCTTGTGTAATTGCTACTGAATAATTTATGTTATACTTTGTTATTGCTACAGAAGAATATTTATTTTATTATTTTACATCTACAATGTTTTTCCTGGGGACCCTGTGACACCCTTTGAAGAGCCGTAGGCTGGATCTCTTAAGATCTCACTGTTGGGTTTGTAAGGCCATGTTACCCCTAAATTTCTATTTTGTTCAAAGAGAAGATATAAAACAAAGTTCTGAGCTAATCGACCTTAGTGTTCTCCTTTTTTTTTAAAGAATCGATAAAGAATCGAATCGTTAAACAGAATCGAAAATGGAATCGGAATCATGAAAATCTTATCAATACCCATCCCTAGGACAAACAGTCATTATGGGGACAAAGTGCTGTCCCCATGAGTTTGAAGACTTTTCTGAGACTCAAAATGTGGTTTTAGTGTCAGGGTTACAATTAGGATATGGTTAGGTTTAGGGTACGGGTTAGGGAAAGCATTATGTCAATGTAATGTCCCCACAAAGATAGTAAACCAGACGTGTGTGTGTTTTCAGACGGCGCTTCACTGGGCAGCCAGGCACGGCCGTGAGGATGCCGTGGACATGATGCTTCACTCTGGAGCCGACGTCAACGTCAGATCAGTGAGTGTGTGTTTGGTGTGTGTGCAGCGCTCAGGACTGATGTTGTTTATAAACTGCACATTGAAGATTAATCTAAGAAACTATCAGGGCTGAACTGAAGCGCACGTGTACAGGAGAATCAGTGTCAGTCTGCCAATAACACACCGCCAAAATAAAGGCCTCTGCTTCTCTCACATATCAGCGCCTCACTGCAGCTGTACTGCTCTCTCTCCTTCCTGCCAAGCCTGCAGGGGCTTTATGACTATCCAGTTAAATCTCTCGCGCTCTCCCTTAACCTCCAGTTCAGTGGACGCCCCATGAGGCCTTTCCCCTCCAATTACTGCATCGTGTGTGAAGTTCATAGCGTTAACCTGCTGACGAGTGGCAAACAGGCTGGCGTTTTTCAGCCGTCACCCTCCTCCTGCTTCTGCTGCAGCTCACCGAGGAAAGCTCGCTCTTTAATTTGGTTTAATTTAAGCCCTAAGGTCAGTTTTTACAGCAGTTTTTAAGAGTTTAATTCATCTCAAAACACCAGTCGCAGATTTGAAAAGTGATTCCTCAATAAGAAAACAAATCAGCACAGAGACGTAGATAATGATAACCTCCTGATACCTGAGCTGCGTTCAGCTATAAAACAGGAAGTCCTTACTTCATTGTAAAGTGTTATCGCCTAAATGTAATCTGCACTCGCTGACAGCCTGTGGGAATCACTCAACTCAGTTTTAACCGTCACCTTGACGTGCTTTATATTGCGAGGTAAAGACCCGACAATAATACAGAAAACCACCAATCACATGACCCCCTGCGAGCAAGCACTTGGTGACAGCGGGAAGGAAAAACTCCCTTTAACAGGAAGAAACCGCAGGAAGAATCAGATTTGGGGAGGTGTGGCCTCTCCCTCCGCCAAGGCTGAGCCCAGCCACCCTCCACAGGAAGCTCATCACTGTGGTGGTCACAGGCGAGGGTGGGAAGGACGATCCAGCTGAGGACCAGATGGGCGGTTGGGGGGGTGGAGAGGCTTAGCTGCAGACTGTCCCACTGTGAGCTGGAGATCACCACCTGATGAAGCAAAGAGCCTCCACCCCTTCACTGACTCCGCCGGGCCTGACATCTAGGTGATCGAGCAGAGACGTGACCCAGAGCAGTCTGGGTGGACCACCACGGAGACCCCGCCACCGAGGAGTGGTTTAAGTAACCCTGTGACCTCACCGGGCTCCCTCTGAGGGCGTGTTCACTCGCTTCCTGCAGGTTTTACTGGACCTGCATGGACGGGATGGATATCACACCGTGGTACTAAACATCCTCATGTGAAGCTGGAAAACTTTAGAATAAGTCCCAAAGCTGAACTGAAAAATACTCGATTACTTTGAGGGCAGTTGAAAAGCAGAGTCCTCCAAACCACAGGAGCCAATCACAATCCTCCGAATCAGAAGAGTTAAAGCCGTCATTTAACTAGACGAGTTATAAACTCCACGGCCACAGACGGAGCAACGAGAGGGAGAATAACCCATATTTGTGTCAGCAGATTGTTCCCACTTCATTCCCTCGTAAATGCTCGCGGCGCGTGTTTGTTTCTTTTCCTTCACAGTCGATAAAAGAGAGCGTGCGCACGCCGCCGCCGCTCTGTGCGCACGGCGGAGTGATTCAAGAGGGCCAATGTTGAGATTACTTAATGGCTTCCCAGACAGCCGTGGGTCCGGAGAATTCAATTTAGCATCTGCCTGTGTGAGCGTTAATCTGCTGCCTCCGCCCGCCGCTGCCGATCATGTGCACACAGGAGATAATGTTTCAGCCTCAGCAGCGCAAAGCGGAGCAGACACGTCACTTATTGGCTCCATAATTACATAATTAACTTTTGTCTCTGATCGTTAAGGAGGTAATGGCTCTGATAAAAAGGCCCTCAGCTCGAGCGGCCAGCAAATCAAAAATCAATAATCCATAGCACGGCATCGCGAGCCGAGGAGCGCTCGCGCTTCAGGTAACGATCTGGAGGCTTCGGCACTTCGCTGATGGATGTTCCTGCAGCCGCGTAAACGCTCGCCTCGGTGCTGCTCCGAGAGGAGGAAACAAGGCCGATTTAAACTGTGCGCTGAAATACAATTATTATTCATTTCATGAATTAAATGAAAATAAATAAAACCGCTTTTATTCATTCAAACAGATTTATTGTGAGGACACCTGCGTGCTTCTGTCATGCCGTAAAATCACGGCTGGATGAGAGCGGGTGGTTAATTAACTGTGGAGGAAACAGCAAAGCCCCAAATGTCAGGAAGATTTTTGTGAATAGGAAAAAAAAGCTGTTTCCCTGTTAAATATGTTGAATTTTCATATTAGACGTAAATGTGGGACAAAGTAGCCAGGTCACCAGGGGTGGCTCTACAGGGGGGCAGCTGGGGGGCAGGTGCCTTATAGCTGCCTTAGAAGAGATTATACAATCACCAGTATTAAAATGTTTTTGCATGCAGGGGATTTTCACATGCTTCCTGCAGAGGTATGTGCCCCCCTTCTGGTCACACAAACAAGAGCACAGAGCAGCTAACAGTGCTTATTCACAGATAATAAGAATAAGAATGACTTTATTTATCCCGAGGGAAATTCTTTTGTCATGTACATGCTCAGAGCAGCAGGAGAGTCAGAGGAACAGATGAATAAGATATACAATATATACAATAAGAATAGTAGTGTACAGTAATATGCAGTGGGATAGTGCAAGACATAGTATCAAATAACTCTAACGAAGTAATATATATAACTCTATCCTGGAGAATAAATAACTGAACTATCAGTGCAGGCGATTCTAGAAAGTGACAGTAATGTGCAATAGAATAAAGGGAGTAGCAGCGTATGATGGGTGGTGAAACAAATATTCAATAAGGTACTGTTGCATGGTCTGAGAGGGAACAGAATAACATTGGCAAGTCTCAGGAAAATCACCTACAGAGTGAGGAAGAGATAAACAGTCATATTGGATTTACTGTGGCAGTCAGTTCTGCATTTCGGGGCGATGAGTCTTTTGCTGCGTTTGCTCCGATGGTCCATCATGGGGCCGTGCATGGGGTGACAGGGGTTGTCCATGATAGAAAGATAACCAAGAAACGTCATCAAAGCTTTTTTTTTTACTTCCAAAGAAACCTTTGAGCCATCGATCTTTGAGTCCGTTAGCTCCACGCTCATTTCTCCTGGTCAGATTGTCCCCGCAGCTGTAACGATTGTTGGTGTTTGAGCCCACGATCGGTCACTTCCGCTCCAGGACGTGTTCCACTCGACCTTCTTGTTCACGATACCGTTGATTTTCACTAACCTGCCCACGCCTCCAAACCATGCTGGGATCTCTGCTGTGGATGCAGCTGCCACAAAGATCTTTGTGCTCCCTGGAAACTCGGAGGTGTTCCTGGATGTTTGCAGGCCTCAGTAATGACCTCCCAGCAGCTGAAGAACACTCGTCTTTCTGTTCAGGAATCCAAGTACATGAGCTGTAATTTGGCATCTTAGTGAAATAGTAATATAATAATCAGCTTCACATTTTGTCACTAAAAATATGATTAAAGGCCTTTCCTTACTGCTGTTGTATTTATTGGAGATGATGTAGAGACACCAGTAATGTGATATTATTACAGGGCAGCTGTAGTATAAACGCGTTGTTCGACTGGGCTGCCCCTCGGCAGGCTTCCTAAAGTGGCCAAGCAGAGGATGGTGGACTTCTATGAATCACCTGGATCTTAAAAGCTGCTCTACTGCAGTTCACGAAAAAAACATGGCGCTGTGGTGAGCTCGGGGAAAAGCACGTTTTAGATCTCACCCTGTATCAACACACCTGAATCAAATGATTAGTTCATTATCAGGCTTCTGGAGAACTTCAAGACATGTTGAGGTCATTTAGCCGTTTAAATCAGCTGTGATGGCTCAAGGACACATCTAAATCCTGCAGGACACCGGCCCTCGAGGCCTGGAGTTCTCCACCTGTGGTGAAGAGGCTGACGTTGTTCACGTGTAAAAAAGTGTTTGTGAGGTCTAAACATCTTCCTCCTCCTCAGTGATATCATTGCCCTGTTTCTCTGTTTTTCTTTCCCGCCTCTTCACCCCACTCTCGGCTCATCCTCCTCACCAGCATGTAAGTATGTTTCTGAGATCTCCACAGAGACGAGCGGTCCTACAGATCAGCCGTCTCGCTCTTTAAGTCGATGGAGCTTCAGTCGGAGCGCCCGGAGCGGTACCGTCTTTGATCTCCTGAATTTAACTCTGTGTTTCTCTGACCTCCTCATGCTGCTCTCTGAAGGGGGTAAGTCGTGTTTTAGTCACCTTTGAGTCCACAGAGCAGCACACCGCACAAAACGCCTGCTGGCATCTCCACCCCGACAACTCGGCTCACGTTCCCAGCACTCTCATATCATTCTCACTCGAGCGTCTGCAGTGTCTGTTCTCTGCTCTGATGCAGTAACTCTGACAGGAAACACAGCAGCGTGTGGACGCGTGCTTCTTTAATCCCGCTTCCTATGAAACCTGGCGCGGCCCAGCAGCTCGCCGCCTGCGCTCTCTCTGTTCACGTCGTTTTTGAAGGTGTTCTGAGACTTTGTGTCTCCTTCTGGATATTTTGAGACTATCTGAAGTTTTCTGGGGTAAATAAGGAAGTTTTTGTCTGTCTGCTACAGCAAGTGCAGGTCCACCTGCGCAGACAGCTCACAAGACCCGGGTGCTGTCCTTCGGCAGGCTTCCAGATGTCGGTCAATCAGAAGAAAGTAGGCCTTAAAGAGACAGGAGCAAGGCTTGGAGCTTGTTTCAGTCAGAAGAGCTCAGATTTCTTTTGATGTCTTTGTCGTAGTTTGGGCGTGTTTGTGTCTTTTATGGCTGTTATGATAAATAACTGTTTACAGAAGTGTGGCACAAACAGGCCAGGTCCACACTGACATTTACTCTGACCTGTTATTATAAATCCATGTTTGTCATTAGAGCAGAAGAACACAAGGAAACACAAATATTTGAGAAATCTGTCCCAAACCTGTTTATAAATAAACATGTCAGAG